GAGGTTAAAATCATGCCCTCCCCAAATCCATGATTAGACGAGGTCCGGCTTGTTTGATTATTCTGGTTACACAGCTTTAATTGCAGTTATTGTGGTCTTAGCTGGTACATGTATGAACTTTAAAAAAAAGGGATTTGCGAATATCCTATCATACTGTGGCTCCGCAATGCTGAGTACTTTGGTACGCCATTGAATGTAGGTTACCAGTGAAAGCAATACGGTTTTTAACGGCTATAGATAGTTAAAATATTTCTCATTGTTTGCGAGGTGTACAGAGAACGAAAGTTCGGAATAGCCATCTCAACTTTGAGTTTCCGCACAGCCGCGTAGAATTTGCCGAGCCATTTGACCCTTGGAGAAGCGTTATATTGTGCATAGCTTTACAAACTATTTGTTAGACGTTCACTAGTGGTGTTGTCTAAGGTTTTGTTGTCGGCAAAAAGAAGGAATGAACAACTGTTCTACGTTTTCCACATCTTAAATTTTAGTTTATTCACCTGAATAATACTTGGCACTATATAAAATTGTTACATTGCGGCGGAAACTAAGGACAAGGCTATCTTTAGTTCTTCACCGTCAACCTTCGACTAAGTTCCTCTACAGAATGTTAGAATTATCTCTGAGCTAGCGTGTTAAACCTGCCGATACCAGGCCGATACTGGGACCAGTTTGTGTGGTAACACACCTGCACATAATTCTTAGCACTGACGTACGACGCGAAGCTTATAATGAGCAAAGCGAGAAAGGAGCGCATGGCTTTCGACGTAAAAAAATGTGGAAAAGATTACTCCCTAAATAGTTCAGTTACTTTTATGTAGTCACATTTATTTTTGCAAGCAGCTGAGCACACGAAAATAGTGTTTTTCATTTCATCCGGCCAATGACAATTCTTATTTGTTTAATAAAAACAATGGGGCTTAAACATAACGGAAAACATAATAGTTGTTTTTTGTTTGTTTGTGGAAAACATACGTCGTATCGCAAATAAGACGCTACGGGGGCGTGAACCGTTTCTTTTGCTAATGACGTGTTAAAGAGAAGACTAATTTCCAAGATATAACTCCTCAGTTTTTCAGTTATATTCTTCAGAGGGCGTTCATGAGAACTAAAAATAAAGAGTCTGTTTTTACTTTATTTTTCCTATTTTTAGAACAGTGGCAGAAACTGTGCGGCCCTGGTATTTTGTTAATTTCGGGTTGAAATCGTGCCCTCCCCCAATGCGTGATTAGGCTATGTCCGGCTTGTTTGATTTTTCTGGTTACACAGCTTTAATTGCAGTTATTGTGGTCTTAGCTGGTACATGTATGAACTTTAAGAAAGGGATTTCGAATATCCTATCAATCTGTGGCTTCGCAATGCTGAGTACTTTGGTACGACAACCTTAATGTTGGGAATGTAGGTTACCAGTGAAAGCAATACGGTTTTTAACGGCTATAGATAGTTAAAATATTTCTCATTTTTTGCGAGGTGTACAGAAAACGAAAGTCCGGAATAGCCATCTCAACTTTGAGTTTCCGCACTGCCGCGTAGAGTTCGCCGAGTCATTTGACCCTTGGAGAAGAGTGATATTGTGCATAGCTTTATAAACTATTTTTTAGACGTTCACTAGTGGTGTTGTCTAAGCTTTTGTTATCGGCAAAAAGAAGGAATGAACAACAACTGTTCTACGTTTTCCACATCTTAAATTTTAGTTTATTCACCTGAACAATATTTGGTACTAGATAAAATTGTTACATTGCGGCGGAAACTAAGGACAAGGATATCTTTAGTTCTTCACAGTCAACCTTCGACTAAGTCCCTCTACCGAATGTTAGAATCATCTCTGAGCTAGCGTGTTTGTTTGTTTTTTAATTTTGTTCTATTTTTACTCTTATTATCTTTTTTTCTACTGCTTTCTTTTCCCTTCTCTGAATGTAAAGAAAGAGAACAACTATTTCTCCTTGCCTTTCTTTTATTATTGTTATTATTATTATAAAAAATTTAACGTAAAGATAAAAAAATAATAATAATACATAAAAAATGTAGCGCAACGCCTAAATTAAAAGAAATCACAAATCAAACTTTGTTGCCGCTTTGTTATGAAAGAATCGATTCTTGCATTAACGACTATGACGTTTTACGAGTTATGGACGCACAAGTTTGGAGAACCGCGCGAGAAGTTAGAGTTGCTCTCGGATACTCCTTTCATATGATCAGTCGCCCGAGTCGTCTCGCACCTTGCGATATGGCAACTGCGAAGCCAATGAAAAAATCACTGTAAAACTAACTTTTCGTCCCTTGAAACTGTTAGGTGATTATTCCCTCTCACTTAGCCTTTTATAAGTTAGGAAATCAAGGTAGAGGTGAGGAGAAGAGACCGCGAGCGAGCTCATGTAGATACGATGAAATTTATCGCCTTCCCTTTTTCTCTCAAGGTAAGGTAACGGCGCACACGAGCCAAAGGCCCAAATGGCCGGCACTTATCCGGGTTTCATTAGCATGAAGCACCTAGGAGTAGTACTACTTCCCCCTGGACGGGATGCTAGACCATTGCAGGGTTACCCCCCAGCAGTATGTCGCCGGTACCCATTTATAGACCTGAGCCTCCCAGAGCATGTACGCAAGTTAGATCGCATGGGACGTCTAGAATTCGTAGGCCCTAGGTGTCCGAAAAAAATAAGACTAATGAAAAACACAAACTAAACCCTCGGGGACGGGTATTGGAGGTGTCCCCAGTCCCTTCCCCACCCAGATTTCCATTACCTTAAAAACAATCAAGTTGACGGCTCTCTGATCGATACGATAAGTTGATATGGAGCATTCTGGAGCACGCAAATAACCAAAGATAGATTTAGTGTTTTGTTTTGATTTGCTAAAATTAGTTTTGCAAAGTCTTTTTGTTGTGGCTGTTTAAGTCCTTCAAAAATTTCCTTTTTGACTTGTCTCTCACTCATTACAAGTATAGTATTGCACCCATAGGGTCAATGGCAGATTAAACATATCAACGATAACTCATCGTTCGTGTAGTTTGTGAATATCTCTTCCGATGGTGATGAGATAACGGAAAAGACAAATGTAATTAGTACAGTTATTCAGTGCACGCAAGTTTCATAAGTTTACCATATGCATGAAAGCTGAACTGGTCAATGGACGGTTTCAAAAGGTAGGAATAAAGGCGAGTGTTTACCACTCTCTAATCTTTATGCCCGTTGTTAATTTATGGTATTCACAATCAATTGATATCGTTTTTTAGGCTGTGTCTCTTAGTCTTTATCACTGTAGACATTGTGATCTTCGGATGTCCGACAAAAGCAAATGGGGTAGGTACATAAAATCATTGCATCACCTTTTTAACTTCCTACCGGGAGATATTTTAACAGGCATACCGTGCCTGTTCTTGCTCCACAGTATAATGATGTTGATCCCCTAACTTCTGTTATCTCATCTTGTTGATATTCTTAAGCTTTTGATATGGATTTGAGCCACGACAGTTCAAAACTCTAAAATATTAGGGACATATTAGCTTTAGTATCAAGTATTGAAGTGATTAGAGAATTTCATACCGTTTTTTTCGCGACCCTAGGGGCCTAAAGTTGTGGACAAATACCACTTGTGGAAAAATACCAGACGTACCTTTAACCCCGGATTCTCGAAACAAAAAATAGATTTATAAACAACAAGAAAAGGGAATCTAATTTTATAATGATCCTAAATTTCTTCAAAATAATTCGTACGACAATAATCTTTTCGCGCTAAAATCCTTTTAAGAGCCACAAAAGAAAGAGACAAAAAGCAATCAAGTAAGCAAGGAAATATATTACAGGTTTTGTAAAAATATTTCTTGCACACTGAGAGGCATATGGATTTTTCCACTCAACACGATATGAATTTTTCCATTTTACTGAACTACTGCAAATAAATGTTTCTGCTGTGTGATAATTTCTTTTTACTGCTTATTTAATGATTCCCAAAAGATAAAACAAGTTGACACAAAATCGACGATGAACTAAATGTCCATACCTTTCCGAATAATTCAAAAGTCCACTGTTATTTTAGGTTTGCGTTAATTTGAAACAAACTATAACGTTGACAGCTTTGTGGAAAGTAACCACTTACTAAACCGTGCGAAATGTACTCAGTCTACTTCAGGGGCAAATTTATGGTCAATAAACTAAGTAGCTATGTAAACAACAGGGTATAACGTACTATCAGGTGCCATCAGGGAATATGGTAGCCTGCGCCAGAGACGGATCTAAACTTCGAGACACTAACCGGGGTTACGTTACGTCTGCAATGTAGGCTAGGAATGGTTAACGTTTACTTTCACATGAAATGTCACAACTTGCCTTAGTTTGCTTTGTCCTAATATGTAGTATGACAGGGGATCATGTGAAAATGTGTTGTTTTTTTAGTATTATTACTATTATTATTATCATTATTATTATTTCATATGTATCTTGTACATAAGAGTTTATATAAAGCCGATGTAAGTAATTTTATAGGTCATTACATTTTTTACAACTAACTAAATTAAGCAAGTCCTCACTTGGCCAATCGTAGTGCAGATTAAGTTGAGTTTAGCTTTCACCAAAAGGTCACACAAGGAGAATAAATATTTCATATTACTCAAGAATTTCACAGGCCGGCTTAGTTCGCAGTCTTAGTTAGTTTTCTTGAAAACGCAGTCAGAAATGCAGCTTCCAGAAGCTCTGGCCAAATTAGTAGACATTGCACCTGATAGGGTAGTAGTCAATTTCAGCTGGCCTTTGCAATTTGTTCAAGAAATGAAACGAAGAAAAAAAAGACAAAAATGGGTGTTTGGCCTCGTGCCTGTAATTTTTGTGTTTCTTTACCTATGGTGATTCTTAATTGGATTAAGCTGTCAGGGGCTTTCGTCGACATTACATTCAGAGCAACTGATTATCACGATTAAATCGATTAAAATATATCTTCTGTTTCATTGCATGTAAAAGCAAAATGAAGCTCTTGAAAAAGGACGCGAAGACATTAACCAGACTTTCGAACAAGGGGAGGACTTTTATGAATGGTCAGTGTGGAGTCCTTGTTCGAGAAGCTGCGGCATTGGAGTAAAATTTAGAGGACAGTTGTGTCTTCGGTGAGTTTTTTTTTAATGTAGAACTATAATGGTTTGATATTTTTTCAAAAGTGATGATACCTGAAAGTACACATCCACGAAGTGTTTCGGAGAAGGGGGAGTTGGTTTAGTAATCACCAGCCAAGGTTTTTTTTCTGGATATTTCGCTTGTCGTCCATATCATATCATAGCAACAATCCGTAACCAGTTTACAAAAGTAAAGAAGGAGTACCTTTTATATAAATTGAGAAAAAGAGGCCCTCGAAAAGGGTGGCATCCAGTGTTTCCTATGTCTTTTGCATGGGGGTGATAAAATGAATGTGTGTAAGTTATGTTTGACAGTAGTGTATTGTATCATCTATATAATTTATCTATATCTAGGAAAAACAAGGCATTGTGTGTGAAGAAACCGATAATATATGAAACGTGCAACCCACAGGTAAGGATAGCTAAGCCATTGCACAATCAAAACGAGTTGGAACGTCCAAAGAAAAGTTCGTCATAGTTTAGTCCGATTTTCCGGAGCTAGTATTAGCGGGAATCATCTTCGTCCTTGCACGAATTAGTTACAAAATATTGGATCGAATCCGAGGAAATGTATCCTCCATCAGACAGTCAAGTATTCCTTTGTTATTTTGTTTCGTTTCCTGTTGTTTTCTTAAACAAAATGAACGAAGAAAAAGAGCAACAGAGCCACCTTCTCTCTACCTTGAATGGGGGTTTTACTGACACTCGATAGTCGTCGCGTCACAGTTTTAAAGTGAGCATGTGAAATACAAGTGGGTTTGGCTCTTTCGAAAAAGAAGCCATTAGTCTGTTTGTAGGACTATCGACTGTCAATTTATGTTTTCCTATTTTTTCCCGAATTTTGTAATTGTTAATTGTTCACTTAATATACGTGTAAGTTCTTACGAGGAAAGTTGAAATTTTCGGTAGTCCTTAAATTTATTACGTAGTTAGTCATACTTTTATATAGATCGTTTCCTGTTTATGTAAATACGAGAAGGCCGCACGTTATCTTGTAGAAATTGCTAGTATACGCTGGCCGATCAAGAATTTCAGTCACTTGGCCTATATTTCCCCCGATTCACCTACTGTCTCAAACGTTATAGTCACATTCCCTCAAATTAGCTTCCTTCGACTTCTACACATCCTCCACTTCTAAAAGCATTGCCGGTACTCTCAGGCAGGTGTGGCACTCATCTCTGAATGTACAATTTTTTGCAAGGTGTTCGTTCTTGAAAAGGTCTTCCAAATAATAAATCATTTGATTTTTGGAATGAACTATACTTACCCTAGCCGTGTTGGGTGAGTATGGTGAGTGTTCCATCAAATGCATACCATTGTGATCAAGGTAGGACTATGTGAAGTTAGCTTTGTGAGGGGCACCATTTTCAGTATGTAACTGGATTCCGGACCGACTAAATGTCCGTGCAGTTGACTGGATACGGAAGATAACCGTTGTAAAAACTGAAGTTATGTAACTTGTGGAAGTGAATGTAGCCCGTCGCGCGTTGCATCGACAACAAAAGGCCCCTGAAGATTGACGACAATTGTGAACATCCTCATTCTTGCACGGAATCTGTTTTCAGGACGTCTAGCGTAGTTCATGATCTTCGGTCAACCACACCGTGTTGGAACGTTTTCATGTTGAAGAAAAGAAATCCAACACTTGTCACCAGTAACAACATAAAAACTCTTGTGGCCATTTGGTTCAAGATCTTGCAACCATTTGAAGAAGACATTCACCCTTTGTTCCCTTTCCTCTTTTCTCAACTGGTACGGAACCGGTCTTACACTCTTCATGAACCGACCCGGCTGATCATGGACTTTGGAATCTGTACTTCCTCAGCTTCCACCAAGATCCAAGGCTGAGAATCTAAGCCACTTAGTACAGAACTGTCATTCAAAGAAGTCTGTGGTCTCCTAGTACGTGTATCATGTTCTACTTCTTCTCCAACATCAGCAAAATGCTGAATCTATCTGGCAACTTTGCAAAAAGACTTTACCAGGTCGTCTTAAACCTTGGCAAGCTCTTCTGGTGGACAGGCCTTGCCCGGAGACCTGTATGCTCCTTTCTAAAGGTTTCATGTCACAACCAAATCAGCGACTGAATGAAAGGTTATGGCAAATCCCACTGACGGGCTTTATTTGAGAGCTAAATTGGCAAAACAATCAAAAATAGAACTATTGTTTTTTTGCAGACCGAGGACAGTCCCTGTCACGTGAAGGTCTATTGGAGTGTTTTTTTAGGACAAACGCAGTTCCTTTTATTTTTTAGTCATTTTAAGACTCTTAAGTATAGAACCGGTCCCGGGGATCGAACCCACGACCTCGGCTCTACAAACTAGCGCTCTTCCGACTGAACTATTCCTGCCGCGCAGATTGTTAGCAAAGCTGAAAATGGCAAATACGTAGTAGAAAATCCTTTCAGGGATAATTTAACTAAAAAACATGAAAAGTGCGCCTCGCGCCCTCCAGGTAGCTCCGCTCAATGCTCGTTAAATCTCCGTTGCTCCTGTACAGATGTACAAATGAGAATCGGAGACTGGCATCACTACGGTTCTTTGGTCCCTCCACATTTCCCTATTATTCCCATAAGCATTACTTGAACGTTCCCTTTTGCAATTACACTATACGATCTCGACAGGGTGGGAAGATGAGCAGATAAAGTGATTAAGGGAATGAGAGCTAACTGCCAACCAGAATTTTTGCGTGCGTGTTTCACTTTGATTTGTTTGCTCTCTTTTTAGGCATGTCCTCCCGGAGGCACAAGTTTTCGTGATTTGCAGTGTGGAATTTATAACGATAGAAATATATTCATCAATGGTCACAAAGCAAAATGGCTGTCATATGTTCGAGGTATATGAACATTCTCGTAATTTATAGTGGAAATTTGAATTGGTTTCAGCAAAGAGTATAATTAAATAAATAGATTTTCACATTATGTCAGGCTGGTTATGTCATATTGGTATTTGAAGTTGAACTCTTTTCTTATGTACACACTTTCGTTTCACTAAATTTGCATTGTATCTTGTCACGTGAGTGAGAGCGCTCTATACAAGCTATTATAGTAATGTCCAGTAGGTAACGAGGTTTTTTAATGAACAGAGAAGACTTAATAGCATAACTTCTTAAGCCAAAAAAATCCCAAATTAAATATCTTACTCGCTATTGACTTAGGTAATCGCCGGTAACAATTCGCATTTTTAAAAAGCAGCTGCTTGTATACCATGTGCACCATTGAAATTCTTCAAAATGGAATAATATCGTTTTAGCTACCAGTTCGGTGTATTTTATTTTCAGGTGACAATCAGTGCTTGCTGTTCTGCTACCCTCAAGGAGGACAATTGTTTTATTATTTTGGAAAAGCAAAGGATGGGACTCAGTGCTCCAAAGAACCTCGCGGCGTATGTATACGTGGGCGATGTAAGGTAAAATGAATTTTTCGTCTAAAAATAAAAAGAGGACTAATATCACAGTGATTCGAAGTACTGTATATGATACGCTATAATGTTGAGGATTTTTGCATTCAGCCCAAAACAACAAAGCCAAACAAAAGAATAATTATACTCCACGATAAAAGGGAAGCAATAATCGATTTTTCCTAAATAGATAAAAGGGAAAAGGGAGCGAGTTTTTCAAGTTTTAGTCAGCTTCCGTACGAACCTTTTCCTAACCGAATTCATGTTTTAATCGAGTTATAGCTTTTCTTGATGACACTGCGCCTATATAGTTTAAGTAATCTGCTTTGTTGCATATTTTCATGGTTAAGGCAGTGGGATGTGACAATGTTCTTGAGTCAGGTGTCTACCTTGACAAGTGTCGCGTATGTGGTGGGAATTCCACAACGTGCGAGCCAGTCAGAGGAAGAATAGAAAGATCGCCGAATCATTTTGAAAAGATGTCAGGTGAGAGGGTCACTGCTTTGTGGGTCGAACATTAAGAGCTAAGCATACAGATATATATTTCCTGTTTTATTGTAGGGTTTTGTATTCCTCCCGCTTTTTCTTGGTATGAGTGGGAATTAAGGCTTTCCTTAGCTAAGAGTTCTTTTTATTGTGTAAGATTCACAATTTAATATCTGTTGAACAGGAAATTACTTTTTACAATGTGTAACTATTAACAAAATTTTCTTATTAGGGTATGCAGAGGTAATGGTCATTCCAAAAGGGTCAACGAGTGTGTTTCTTTCAGATGAAACCTGGAATTATTTAGGTACTTATATGATTTTTTACCCACATATTTTCCTGGCTGGAAAAACCGAAACCGACAAAACACATATTCAAGTAAAATGCAAGTAAAATTAAAGCTTGGGTGCTTTCCCTAAGACCAAGAATTAATAATTAGGTTTCCACTGGTGGATAACACTTCCGATCTGACACAGTTCTTGGTTAGGGTAGGGTGGTACCGTCTAATGCAAATTGCTTCTTTTACCTCTTCCAAACGGAGCACTGTCCTGACATAGAGTACTTTGTATATTTGTACTAATCTCTATGTACAAATACTTAATTCATCTATTGAGATCGGGGTTCCCGAATTAAATTTCGGATGAGCTTATTCTTTACTCATCCATCTATAACATTCTGAATTTCTTCATTTCAGCTGTGAAGAGAAACAACGGTGATTATGTCTTCAATGGCGATCGGATAGCAAGCTGGTCTGGTTTGTACAAAATTGGTGACGTGGATGTTCAGTACACGAAATTTTCAAACAATATCAAAGAAAACATCCAGATACCAGGACCCACCGAAGAAGATATTTATGTAATGGTTAGTCGCTTATATTTTAATTACTAAAAAGTTAGTAATTATTCTTGTAAACAACCTTGGCAAAAGAGATCGTCAACATTAGGTCTCTACTTCGTTTAACACCAGTGCAACCGTCGGCCTTGAATGTGCCCCAGTGATTTTATTTTATTTATTTTTTCGAATTTGTGAAGCACGTAAGGTTCCTTAGTGGACGTTCGAGTGGTTATTAGGTAGATTTAGCAAAGATCAAACAATGTCTAATGAGAATGTAAAAGTTCACACAAAAGACTGAACGCAACATCCATTTTTTAATTTGCCACATTGCTATTGGCCAATTCGATTTTAGATCTACGCGCGCCGTCACAACGTCGTGAGGGAATTCTAACTTTACCCGAAAACACGCTTTGACTAACCTACGTCTACTGAGGGTAAACAAAGTCGAAATATAAATATTTGTTTTTATATATTAGGCTTCCTAACGAATACTTTAAAAGGTTTGACAGAATTTTTATTTGTACTGATTTTTACTATTATGCTTCGTTTTAGTGTCTGCTTATTACGGGAAAACTTAACATAAGCTTTGAATACTGGATACCGATAAAAGATACAAAAGTTTTACAAGGCAAGTGGAAGGATCTAAAGAAACGCAAATTTCTCCACTGAGGAAGTGCTTTGAATAATGTTAACGGGGCTGTGAAAATTTATATGAGTACCTCAATTCGCAATGCCTATACAATGGTCTTTCCCTTTCTGTACAATAAAATTATATTAGTAGGTTGGAATGATTGCAACTTAGAAATCTTATGGAGTATTGGAGACCCTGTCTTTTTGGGAGCACAAAACTCATTTAATCCTTCTCGAGTGCTTGAGAGTGAACATTGGTGACATCAAATTTTTAAAAATGGTAAAAGTATGAAGGGGACAAGTTAGTTTTGGCCGATTTTTGTTTTCCTTTTTTGTTCCAGAAGCAGCTGAAGTCAAGACATATCTTCAGGGCAACCGCTTAGACTTACTGATAGAGTGGGGCAGGTGGACAGCTTGTTCTGCCACATGCGGAGGTGGAATCAAAGTGCGGGCTCGAAAGCGCGGCAACGGAGACGTTTCGTCCTTCGTAGGTGGAGAGACAGACGTTCAGCGATGCGGTGATGTGCCATGTGATGAGGTGATGTCTGAATGGTCGGAGTGGGGTCCGTGGGATGATTGTAGTGCATCGTGCGCAGGTGGAGCAAGGATGAGGTTTCGTTATTGCAAAACGCCTAACCAGTCTACTGACAGATCTAGCTGTCTCGGTGATAGATACGCGGTAGAGCTCTGCAACGCACAGGAGTGCCCTACAGAAGGTGTCAATGTAGCAGTTTTGCTTTTTATAAAAAGTATTATTGAAGCCTGCAACATAACCATTTTACTAAGATTAGCTTGGCGTACAGTATGATAATTACACTTTTTCTAAATTTTGTAAACTAAGGAAATTATTTTTAAGGTTTACTTAGCGTTTTGTACTGTTAAACATCCTTTATATGGACACCGAAGAGACCGAAGGGTGCGCTTTACAGAGACGTCCGTATTCAGTTAGAAGTAGGAATTGTGTTATGTTTGGTATTACTGGGACTAGGGGAGGAGAAATACCTGAAAAAAAAAAAAAAAAACAGCCGACATCTCACGACGTCACGACTGGTATTCCCGCGAAGTGACGTCTAAGGAGCTTCAGCAGAAATTTCATACTGATGACATATCACTACCCAAAAATGCTTCTGAATGGTCGTAACAGGAGGGATATTTGTTTCAACTGTTCAACTATCCTGATCTGGATAGTGTGACGTCATCAGTATTAAATTTCTGCACTCGTTCCTGAGACGTCATTTCGGGATTTCGGGGATACCGTTGGTGGCGTCGTGAAGTGTCAGTTGTTTTCTGCGGCTAGCCAAGACACGGTTTATTGTGATATTCAACACGGGCATTTTCACTTTTAACCTGGCAGGCTCGTAATTTTTGAAAAATAGTAGCGTTATCCTACAATGTAAGCTTAACGCGAACCTTAACCCATAGTTTCGTCTTTATGGCTACGAGTGAACACACTTTTAAACTAGCTCAACTTTTCGCCTCATATTTTCAGGAGTCTTTCGTCTTACGATTATGCTGCCTAATTAGGAACGTTCAGATCTCACAATATAATGATCGTAGCCTAGTTTTCTGTTGTTTGAATATCTTTAGTTATGATCAGCTATTTTTAAGGTTGCTTTTGATTTTTGTTGTTGTTTTTGTCTTTGTTTCTTATAAAAGGAAAGATGCCATTGGCAAACACGTCGGATATCATCAATGTGGAAACGCCTCCATTATTGCAGGAAACGCCCGCAGTGAATTCTACTGGAACGAGCTATGAAATTTATCCCTCCTCGTCAATTACTCCTAAAGATAATTTTTCGGATTCGCACAAAATAGCAAGGACGACACCTTTTTCTACGAGCTTTTTTGATGAGTCTCAGTCGACACCGTCTTCGCTAACAGGTTATACGTTGACTTCTCCAGAAATATTCCATTTCCCTGCCAATTCATTTCTCGTGTCAACGAGAAAAGCGTCCACAGCTACCCATGGAAGTTACTTTTCAGTTACTGGACAAATGATTCCTGTTTCCTCTGACCATGATGAAAGCGTTACGCCATTCTCTTCCATTGACGTGCGGAAAATCTCTACTTCAGGATTGAATAAAATTTTGGATAGCGCAGAACTTGGGCACACCTTAGCAAGGACGCCCATTCTCCCTTCTAACAAACTATCTACGACTGAAGCCAACGTCTTAGTTGTAAGGCCATCATTTTCAAAGTGGCTTTCCCTACCCACAGATCCAACCGAGATGGTTTCCAAAATGACAACCAACGCTCATTCAATTGTCCTTGGATCTCCCGAAAGGTCACAAGCCATCACCTTTGGCGGCAGCATTTTCCCATTATTTGTAACCCACAGCATAATACTACGACCAAGAGAGAAATTGGCGTCCAGTTCAATTTTGAATGAGAGTACTTCTTCAAGTACAAAAGCCTTTGAAGAAACGTCGATGTCAGAAAGACACACGATTCAAAGGAGCAATTTTGTGTCGTTATCAGTCAAACGGGCAGCATCTTATTATCCCTCGTCCTCCAGAGACGCACTGAGTACGACTGATAACACCAACATGGCTGCGTCTGAAGCTAACGTTGCCACAAATACTTCAGTGACGACACCCGTTTCTATCCAAGAGAAAATGGTGTCACTTAATGATTCTTTATTAAGTAATGCAGAACAGTCGACGGCATTGAAGCCACAGACCGGGTCTTCGATATTTGATATAAATTCAAGACATCCAGTTATGTCCACAAACTCATTTTCTCGTCAATTCAAGGCTACTGAGTCACGCAAACTCTTAGGAAAAATATCTTCAAAGTTGATAATGACACGCAGCGCAAGAACACCCCCATCAACAGTATTGACATCTTTTGAAGCATCATCAGGTCCGGTGGGTTCCGCTCCTTTATCATCAGACGAAACTCAATCTTTTTTGTTAAATGTAAGGACGAGGTCTTTCTTGCCACCTATGGAAACAATGTTATTCTTTGAACCAAATGATGTGCGGTCGGGCAGTGTTCTGCTGAAAACTGCAAGTAAATCTTCAGGTCTGTCATCCTTTCTTAACCCATCTGGTCATAATATAGCTCCTCGATCTTTTCCTTCTACTAAGAAAGAGGTAGATGACACTAGGGAAACAGCTGAATTGCCAGTTGAAGGAGAAGGCTTGTTGAGGGACACAATCGAATTGTCATCAAAGATAAACACCCTTACAAAATATGTTCATGCCTCGAAGGGACAAGATGTAAATACGAAATCAACTAAGACAATTTCAGAAGGAATCAGTGTAGTCAAGAGTGTTCGTCCTACCAAGACGGCTATACCTTTTGAAATCACGAAAAAACTTATCATCGGCTGGCCACCGACACCAAGCATAGCTTTATCAACAAGTGAGCGTTTGAAATCATCAACTGGCTATAGTCACGGGAGACTGTCAAGGTCTGTATTTCCGACTATCGTTTCAGGATTGCCAAAAGAAGCTCTAACCAAAAGCACCTATTCTTTTGAGAGAGAGATGTCTTCGAGACCATCACCAAGTTTGCAACTTCTACCTACTTTATCAAAAATACCAACGCCATTAGATGAAGCAAAATTGTTACTTCCTTCCCCCAGTATTAATCTGAGTTCCACTGGTACTGGTTTTACTATCACCCCATTGTCACCGTCTTCATATTTTTCACCGTTTACCAAATCACAACATTCAACAGGGAGAAGTGAAGACATAGAAAGTGGAGATGTATCTATTTCACTATCAAAGGAAGAGCCGCCATCATCAATAACAACAAAAGACACCTTAATCATGTATTCTAAAAACCCACCTTCGACCTTGCATCTCGCCCATCCTTCCAGCGCCATAGAAGAAGGTTCTCTTTTTCAAAGTGCAATTTTAACCAGTGTTTTACGCAATCAACCGGTGCTTTCGTCACCTTATCCACAGTTTAATTCAACACCAAGAGAGGTAAGGACCAACATGCAGTCTAACGATATTTCTTCGTACATAGTACCTATTACAACTTCCTTGTCTTCACGGACAACCTTAGCTCCAAAGGAGGAGGGTTCAATAACAAGCAAGGATTCTGGTTTTCTACGGAATTCAATAATGAAACAAAATTTGGTTAACAATGAAACTGATTCCTTTAACAGTTCGTTGCTCAGGGAGCGTGTATCATCATCAGTCACAGAAAGTACCCAAGTAATAAAGGGGAAAGAGACTTTAAAAATAGAGTGGTTACCAAGGTCATCCTTAAGTCAAAATGTACTTTCCTCATGGTATAAAGTGCCTTCTGGAACACTAAAGGACGACGTTAAGGCAACACAAATCGATTCTTTCATGCGTCCATTACCAGGACAAGCCATTACATCATCGACAAAAATGCAGTTTCGCTCGACTCAATCAGAATTGGAATCAGAATCCGTTGCAACTTCACTGTCAAGGACCAACATTCCAATGTCAGCATCGAAAAATTCAACCCCTGAAGCCACCGTGTTGTTTTCCCCGTCCATTCCTTCGGAAATCCACTTCAACTTACCTCTGTCACCGAAAATGGGCTCAAAACAGAAAGGTGAAGCCATAAAAGCGACCCTGTCTTCCTTCTCTGGACCATCGTCTGTAGAGTCAATTCGACCCTCATCGTATTCTGCTGTAAACGAAGAAGCACTACCACGTCGCAAAGAATACGTAACCATTGCCTCATTCAGACGGCGTACGCCACCTGTAACAGAAGGCGTTTTCACATATAGTGTGTTATCACTAAAAAGTATGTCGACCAGGAAATACAAGCAATTATCAACTGGTACAAGCTTTAGCAACTTAACTCCAATGCTGAATGGATTTACCACATCCTTTCTTGGCCATACTTCATTAGTCTCTTCTCAAAGGTATCCATTGTCATCTAAGAGTATAGAGTACTTACGCTCATTGTCCGTACCCAGCCAGAAAGAACTCTCACCAAATCCCCCCTCACCTAATAAAACAACAAGGGAATATGAAAAAACTCTAATTGCACCTGCGCTATCGACAGAGTTTTCGTTTTTTGAACACAGCGCAGTTTCCCAGACGTTAAAGGATGTTGGCCCATTTTTTCCGTCAGTTAAAAGAAATGAGGCCGTTGCTGAATCCTTGGACTTCTCACTAGCTAGTGGATCATCGCAATCATTCTTGGATTTAAAATTTCCACCAATACAAAGGTCGTCGAGTAGCGATTTTGAATCATCAACAGCATCATTATCCAGGCTACCTAAAGTACCGATGAATGCGAATTCCAGTTCTTCGGCAAAAGAACACGTCACATCATCATCTCCTTTAACCAAACGCATGCAAATTTCATTATCTCGAAATTTAAACTCATCGACGAATGCAGACCATGTAAAACAGACGGTCTTAGATGAAAAGATCCCGCCATGGCAAGCCGCAATCTCGCCAACGCTTACGCAGTTTAGCTCCACAGAAGTTGAAAAAGACACAATGTCATATATGGCTCCCTTTACGACTTCTTTGCCTCAACTCACACCTTCGTCAATGTATGCGCAGCTGATTTTAACAAGACAGCAAAGTAAGTCCATAGGAAAAGACTACGTCAGACGCTTAATGTCATCGCAACCTACGCAATTTTTAACGCTCTCGGGCGTTAGGCCAGCTGGTAAAATGATTACTTCAGTATCACAAAAAGACAAAATCTTTACATTTGAGTATTTCAACTCTCGCCCCGCAGATGAATCTTCCACTAATAATGTGAACTCTATAGCGAGTTCATCGGTGGGAGTTTCCTTTTCATTGGCTATGCCAGACGAAACCACGAATACCTGGGTACTCCGACAGTCGAAAACAGCACCTAATCGCCTCATTATGATGAATCTGACTTCTTTAATTTCGGCAACTATTGGAGAAAACACGGTGTCTCAAAATGTAGTTTCTTTAACTTCACACCCTAATTTATCGTCGAAGTCTCCACAATTTCGTTTAGGAGCCATTCAGCCAACAAGAATCACAATCTCACCAGAGGCTCCTGTTAACCCTACTTCCAAGCAAATTACTCTGTCGTTAACTTCGTTGCCGATAAAAGGAAACCTTACTAGCCTGGTGATAAACTTGACAAATACGTCCTCATTAAAGTCCATAGTATCATCTACATACCTTAGAACAATTTTATCCTCAAAAAAAGGAAATGCAACGGCCATTATTTCACCAGAGGGTAGTTTAATGTCGAAAGATGAACATTTTACCGCCGGGAGGAGTTCTATAAGAAATTCATCAGTGTTGTACATGGAGATCTTTACATCCAAGTCTCTGGTCAGTTTCTCGAGATCTCTCGATTCAACTATAGTTAACCAACCATTTACTGCATCACTGACTCAGCAGATCAGCACACGGAAGAAATCTAAACACGAGTTAATACTGAAAACATCGTCATCGATCCCATGGTTTACAAACGGAAAGCTGAGTCCTTCCTCTTTAGCAAAAGATGATGTAGCTTCTTCGCCAATTGCAGGAGAAAGCTCGAGACTAGTTGCAGACAGCGTGAAGCCAACAACGATGAATGAAGCTGCAGTTTCAGCAAACACAATTCTTCATGAAGAAAAACGTAAGAACAGTCCAATATATTTATCCTGGGGGGAACCCCTTGACCGCTTATTAACTGTGAAGAATGCTTACCATACAGCCACCAAATTGAGAAAGAGTGATGTCATTAAGATAAACTTTTACTGTCATTCCAGAGCATAGTTTGAGATACTCATTTTGAAAAGCGAGGTCGAAGGGAGTGACGAGAAGGGAAGAAAGAGCGAAGCGACTCTCCTCTTCTCTTTGTTTTTCTTCTTATCACTCCCCACTCGCGCTTCTGGCTCGTCTCCAGTATTCCTCTTTTAAAGTTGGTGTTCCGCACCAAGCCTTGGGAAAGCCTGTGGAGGAGGCGGAAGTTTTATGTCATAGTTACTGACCTCATGCATTTATTTACACATTTTAGCCAAACGCATCTGGCATCAATACTTTTATCAAGAAAGGATGTTTAACCACAAACATTAACAGTAACATGTTTAATAATATTACGAAGTCTTTTAGTATTTTATTTAAAAAGCTTTGACGTCATAATGAAGTCATAAAGGAGAAACTAAATCTTCCAAACATAAATGCGTCTCTAACTGACATGACAGCATTCCCAGCAAAGTGTCTAGCTATAGAGCACAGTTTCTTTTGCTCCATACAGATATCTAAACAACCTCGAGAAATTCTCTTTGTTCAACGAGAGAACATCATTTGGACGTAGGTGCCTCCATAGTATGGTAGCCCATAATACCCTACATTCTAAAGTATCCATTACTACCCACCAACGATGGAATGTAACTTCTTTTTTTACATGGTAGTTTTTTCTTTTAAGTAAACAAGGTGAACTATTAAACGTTTGATGGGGCCACAATAGTTTGAATGTCTATGGCGAAATGCACAAATTTGTAATGTCAAACATATCCCTTTATACCTTTGTTCTTTTGTTATAGATCGATGCGACCCGTGTGTCAATCGGATAAGACTAACCAGGGCGTATTGCATCGGTGATTTTGGTAAGAGTTAATGAAAACGAGTACTATAATCACTCACTTTACTCAAAGGCGTTACCCGCACCCTTACCTCTATTTTTGTTTTAACAGTGGTCCACGTCAGGATTTTAACGGAAGGCATTAACGAATTATCCCTGGATACCAATTATCGCATCAGTATTATAAACATTTTTAAAATGAACAGTTCGTTACCAACATTTCGAAGCGTTTGGATACTCAGAAATCTGTGTAGCTGCCCGTTACTTCGTCCTGGTAAACAGTATCTTTTAACCGGAAAGATGACCAGGCTCGCAGGCAACACAAAGATCATAGCTGAAGTCAGTNTATCGCATCAGTATTATAAACATTTTTAAAATGAACAGTTCGTTACCAACATTTCGAAGCGTTTGGATACTCAGAAATCTGTGTAGCTGCCCGTTACTTCGTCCTGGTAAACAGTATCTTTTAACCGGAAAGATGACCAGGCTCGCAGGCAACACAAAGATCATAGCTGAAGTCAGTAGAGAAAGCTATGTTGAGGAATGGACGAGATCGATGCTGACGCGGATGGAAGAAATAAAGAGCAAACGATGTTCGTTGATAAGGACAACGTGGATGACAACGTCTATGGGGACGAAGCCTGAAAGTACCTCAGGTATTACTTTAGATTTTCCAAATGCTAGTTCCTTCACTTAATCATTATAACTAACCGGATGAAAATGCAGTTATGATATACATATTTTTTACTTCTAAGGTCCAACCAAAAGACCAGCTCGAGTCACAAGCGAGAGGACAAGTAAGTGCCGACCAAATACCTTTTGTCGAAAAACGAATTGGCACCCTTTTTGTTCTTTAATGAAATTACTTAGTAGTTGTTTCTTTCTCTTCTTAGCTTTCTGGGGAGAAATATTTTAAAACAGTCTGAATTCGAAGCGATGGCGATGAATTCATTGAGAGAAAGTGTAATTGAAACAATTTAAAAGTATGGCCTTTTACCTTAGATAAAATTCCATAAGTTTTTGTTGAAAAATCCAGAAAAATAGTAGAGAAAGAGAAGAGGGGCACTGTAAAAAAGGTGTAGATCTCTTTACTATCTCTTTTTTCAACAGCGAAATGTCCTCCATGTGATTTAGATCAGAGATTAAGGGAAAAGTATTGTGGCAGTGATTATGGTACGTATAATGTTTCAAGGTACCAATTCTACTTTATCATATTCAATGTCAAGATAGCATAGTTCTGATTTTGTCGGTTAGGAAACGTCAATTGACGACGGGAAAGCGCGCGGAAAACACTAAACGCGACTTCTGGTGCCCAATTTTCCGCTCTGCTATTGGTCAAGCCACTTGTTTGATTTGCGCGCGCCGTCGTCAACTGACGTTCGCGTTCTGTTGCTAAATCAGCTTATATATATTATATTGAAAATGAATTTTCTAAGAGCGTTGTGTTTTTTTGTTACTTATGCTCAGTACATGTCAGGCTACTGTCAATTTTTTTGATGGAGATAAAGGAGTGGAGAGGGATAACCGGAGGTTGACCCCTAACGTTTCTAATTAAAGGCAACCTAGAAAGTCCAGAACGGCTTGACTTTACAAATCATTTCTCCTGCTTCCTTCTCATTGTAAACCGTTGTAGTTGGTGTGAATAGAGTTTCTCTCACTCAAAGCTGTTCTATTTGTTGTTGTTTTCTTTTTTGTTATTACAATTTCAGCAATAATTGTAAGAGTACGTTCACAAGAAATTGTTAATGGCAATCACACCCTTTATTTGGTCAATGTCAAGAAAGTATTCAAGAAAAATCAACGTATGAAGAAGAAATTGGACATACGTTTCAATAACAAAACTTGTGACTGCAAACCCAAACTTTCGTTTAAAAGAGAGTATCTGGTGATCGGCAATCACAATGTCACCATCAGAAAAATGGCATCTTTGGAACTTGACCGACAAAGTTTCCTGGCTGAATGGGATGAAACACTGGAGAATGAAATGAATCAGATGGCAGACTCCTGTTTAAGGAATTCAGTTGTTGTTACTCCAAGGCTAACAAATTCTTTACAGATCATTACGGGAATAAAGACTTCAGGTATGTCACCCACTTCAACATTTCTTCACCTTTGTTACTCTTTATGAACCTGTGTCATCCAGGAATGATAAAATTTGACGAGTAAATTATTTATGTCGTAATTAGCCCATTTGAAGCGCGCTGGTTGCTTTGAGGATCCTTTCTTTCAACAAATTTGAGTAATTTTAAAACATTTTCTTGGTGAGGATATTTTTATACGTTGGAGTTGCTTTGATTGAACATAGAAAGGACATGCAATTTTATATTTGTCAGTTTGAAATCTGTAGTTGTTAGAATCGATCGCGTTTGAATAAACATAAAACAATTTTATTGGAGGTGTCCTATATAGATTTCTGATAGGCACAAATTGATTTCGAGAAAAAAACTGACCATCTGTTGTGTTGGTAATCACAGCTACATTCAAGATCAGTGCGCCTACTGGGAAATACGCAACAATATCATCGCCAGCTGCTGCATCTCCGCCTGTAACAGTCACACATAACTATACAACAAAGCTGTCTGTTACAGCAAGTAAAGCAGGAAGTAAGTAGACGAAAGCGTTTTTTCATTCTTTGAAACAAAAACAAATTCCTGGGCTTGTCTTAAAAACACTTACAGGCTTTCTGGAAATCAATTGACCGGAGTTGATGGTTCTTGGTTTTACCATAACGATTTCATGCATCAAACGATTGACCAAAGATATTTAATTTCTCTCTGTGGTTGGATAAAGGACCTTGGCGTGGCAACAGTAACTGGAACTTTCAGCTTTAAGCGCAATTTTATTCCGTTTGATGACAAAATGCTACCCAAAACCCTGGGGTCTGACCTTACGACGGTAGAAAAAATTTTACTTGGCTGACTGCGTCTTCTTTCACAGATCGATGTGATCCTTGTGTAAATCAGATGAAACGAGCCGGAGCTTATTGCATCAGCGATTTTGGTAAGTACAAATCAGGCTTATTACCCGAGTTAGGATTGTTGATGAGGAAGACGGGAGGGGGAGAGGGAGGACAATACAATTGGTTAGTAGGAGGGGGAGAATGGGGAAGTTAGAGGAGGAGGAGGAGGAGGAGGAGGAGGAGGAGGAGAAATAATTTCATTGAAAAGTCTCACAATGTTTTTGGTTAAACTGGAACTATAGGAAACAGAATTGGAATTATTACTCAAAGCAAATTGATTATAGTGACAAACGATTTATTGCTTTATTTTCCATGAGTTCACCAATCAAAAAAAGCTTATAACACCATGGTCAACATAACGACATAGCCCGCACAGTCAGACTGCATTATCGATTTAGAAATAACTCAAACCCTGTAAAACCACAACACCAAAGAAATAAAAAAAACAAGAGATTTGATGCCTTATATTCGTAACATCCTCCACGTTGATTTATTCCACCTTACAGTAATGTGACTCCACCGCAGAAAGGGGGAGAAGGACGCTATGTTTGGGCATTCTTGGAGAAGAACTAACGGACGCAGAAACAACTTTAACAAAAAAATAGTGCAAATATTCAATTTTCTTACAGACCGATGAAGCTTATTCGTTAAATTTCAGACCGTTATATTAATCACTGAACTACAGTATATCGTTGGCAATCTGTAAATCAAAGCGAGAATTTAGGAGAGCAGATTTTAACGTTGCACTGAATGAGAAAGACGCCGTGGTCATTTAACAAACATGGGACAAAACTCTTCAGATTTCCAATCTATGGCCTTCAAAACAGTGGGCAGGAGGACTTTTCCACTGAGTTACGAAGGAGTTCTTATGGTGGCCCGAACCTGTTTGTATGCGTGTTGGTTATGTTTTTGAATCGCGTTTTTCAGCAGAAACGATTTAACCGATTTTTATGATTTTTGACTTCCTTAATGACGAATGGTGGAACTTAAAGAAAATTTTATTTGTTTTCTTGTAGATATAAGAACGTTTGAGATATCGACATTTATTTAAAACCGCATTTTTACAAGAAATGTTAATATCTTACGTTGCATTGCTAACCGTATTTGCCGTAAGTTTCTGATTATTCAGTTTCTGGCAATAAAGCTTTGGGTAAGAATACCCTTTCATACAAACGGCTTGGAAACTAAAATTTCGAGGACGTTTTTGGACTTTTTACATTTAGGGCATGAATTTTTCGTCATTTCAGGCCTTGGAACCTAAAAATGAGCCTAGCTAGCTGTAAAAAGGGGCAATACGGAGG